AGCATCTGACAAATTCCAAAATATCACAAACACCTTCCCCCAACACAGCAGCAGAGGAAAATAAGAAGATGAAGAGACTCTCTGTGACTTGTGTTTCAGCCAAAAATAACCTTTCAACAGCCGCTTTCATTTTGTTCCAAATAAAGACTCATGCAACCCATGTATTCTCCCACTCATCTACACATCCATGAAGCTGAGGCTCTAACACCTAGCACAGAAACTCAAGTGGAAAATGTCAGCAGCTCACCCATATTAGCCTGTCCAGGGACAAAGATAAAGTACATGCTATACTTTGGCTGCCCAGGGTTTGCTGATAACATGTGAAAAATTGGCAAGATTCTGCCAGGGCTGGTCATGCTGACTAGGTGTGCAGCAGCTGGGATATCAATATGCAAACTCTATTCTCGAATTCTCATCTCAGAACTGTATGTTCACATTAAGCTGTAGTACATAAAATACTTTGGATTTGGATTCCGGAAGACCTAGGTTCAAATCCTGACTCTGACATTTACTAGCTAGGCAAGCCCCCTACCCTCCACCCACACCCCAGCTCAAGCCTTGGGCAGCTCTCTGAGTCTGCAAGTTAAAGATGGGTTGTAATCAGCAAGGATAGAAGGAGTTCCTACATGGGGCATTGAACAAAAATCATACTGACATTCACAAACCAAATCCCTAACTTGTAAAGGGCTGATGAAAAAAATCTTACCAGAAGCCTGAACAACCAAAAGGAAACAAAATCCTAAAGATCCATACGCAGAAGTACTATCACTTCACAGGTGACCACATTTTAGGAGAAAGGGCTCCCCCTGAGGTAGATCCAGTCTCCCCTTCCTTGGACTCTTCTCAAACAGCATCCATACTGAGGGAATTTGGGAAGAGTGCCATAGCTGGTTAATAATAATAAGGATGACAATAACAGTGACCATTGACATTTGTATAGCATTTTAAAGTTTGTAAGGCACTTTATACTCTTCATCTCATCATCATCATAGGTAACACTTATATAGCACCTACTAGGTGCCAGACACTGTGCTAAGTGATGCACAGTTATCATCTTTGATTCTCACAACCCTGGAAGGCAAGTACTATTATTATCCCCATTTCACAGATAAGGAGACTAAGGCAAACAGTGGTTAAGTGACTTTCCCAGGGTCATATAGTTGGTAAATGTTTGAGGCCAAATTTGAACTCAGGTCTTCTTGATCCCAGGTCCAGTATTCTATTCACTGTACCATCTTACTGCCCACCTGAGCCTCACCAAAACAAAACAAAAACAAAAATGAAAAAACCCTGTGAAGTAAGTACTAGAGATATATATTTTCTCCATTTGACAGATAAAGAAACTGAGCCTCTCAGAGATTAACTGACTTGACCACGTGTAAGTGTCAGGGATCAAGATTAGAACACAGGTCGTCCTAACTCTAAGTCTGGTTTTCATCCCCTACTCCACACTGTCCTAATCATGCCTGAATGCTACCTATCTCATTGTTTGTCGTTTTTCCTTCATTTCTGAAGAGGACCATGACATCAGGGAGGTGATACCATGACGGGCAAGTGAATTAGATTTAAGTGAGAGATGGCTGGGAAGAAAATGCTTTTTAAAACCTTAAAGCACTAAATAAATGCTTTTGGCCTGTGATCCAGGGATTCTCAACAGTTTGGGAGTCATAAAAACCTACTGTTTGATTTCATGATGGCACCTCCATTCTCCTAAAAGTGCCATATGGCAGCAGTTATCACCATGTTGTCTGGGGATCATCAGGAGTCCCCCCCAAGGCTCTCTAGGTGGTCTGTGAACTACACTTTCGTAGCACTGATGTCTATGATATGACAATGATTATACTTTTGTTTCTGACATGAGTTAGTAATTTACATATGATAATATCTCATTAGTGTCATTCAAGGCAATGTCATTTTTCTAATTAATTCTAGTGGTTTTTTTTGGTAGCAAGTGAGGTAGTTGGTCTGAAGAGTTTTTCTGGAATGCATGTTATATACATATATATGTATATATGCATGCATACGTATACATGTATGTGTATATGCATATGTATGATGGAATATATACACATACACACATATATACATATATATACATATATGTGTGTATGTATATATATATTTTACTGGAATTCTCAATCAGGAAACTCTTCACCAAAGCAGACTGGTACCTACTCTGTATCTTGTAAGTGAGTTTCTTAGGGGCATTGAGAAGTTAAGTGACTTACCCTGGGTCAATCAGCTATTTGAATTTAAATGCAGGTCTTCCTGATTCTGAGCCTGAACTTCTATTCTCTATGGCATGCTGCCCCTCGTCTATCCCTATGCTCATCATAGGGCACATTCTATTTGGAAATTATCGTTGGTTCTTATCTTCAACTTAGGAGAAAATAAGAGGCACTGTAACCCGCACATCTGGCATATCCTCTGGACATGCTTATGGCGTGCGTATGTCTTTGTTTCCAATCTAGACCCATTCTTCCTTTCTCAGGAAGTCTGAGAATCCTCTATTCCAAGGGGCTCATCATATTCGAAGCTCTATGGAGACTGCTAACCAACATGGTGCATTGCAATTCCAAACCTGAGCTAGAGCCATGCTCTAGCCTCAGTCTCCCAAGTATCTAGTGCTACAGGTATGAGGCAGAATTGGGATTAGCACAGGGATGTGCCCTTCACTTTACCTTGTGGCATTCCACAGTGACTCTCTAGATGGTAGACTGCCTCCTCCCAACAATATTGAACTTATGGTGGAATGGTTCTCCAAACTGCTACACCCTCCATATCTTAGTGTGTCCTTTGTGCTCCACGCAGAACATGCCCCTCCTGCCCTCAAGTTGGACTGTGCTCTGAACCACCTTGCCCCCTTCCTCCAATGAATATCCTCAACTTACAGCTTAATCTAGTTAGGACTCTAGTTATAGTTTTAAATTTGAGTTAATTAAAAAAAAGTTTTAAAAAAAAATTCTGGCCTTAAGAAAACTGTGTGTTCTAAACACCAGTGATGCATCACTATTCCTCCAGGCCCCTCTTAAGGTCTTACCTCCAGAATGATGAACTCCCTCCTAGCTCCAATAGACACTCAACAGCAGGACAATGGGGCCCTTACGGAAATCCTTTGTTCTTGTTCAGTCATTTCAGTCACATAAGACTCTTCATAACCTATTTGGGGTTTTCTTGTCAAAGATACTAGAGTGGTTTGCTATCTCCTTCTCCAGCTCATTTGACAGATAAGGAAACTGAGGCAAATAGGGTTAAGTGACTTGCCCAGGGTCACACAGCTAGTAAGTGTCTGAGGCCAGATTTGAACTCAGGGAAAGTCCAGGCCCAGCACTCTATCCACCGCGACCCCTAGCTCTTAACATATATTAAAGCACAGGCATTTAGTTACCAAAGAGCACTAGAACCAGGATTCGGGATTAAAGTGTGGCCTCAGCAACCTGCATCTTAACAGATCACCTGCTAAGATGTGAGCTAGCTAATAAGGCAGTTAGGTGACCTCAGGACAGTAGAATATATTATTAAGAGAAGGTATTATTTTGTCTTCTTATCCCCTACCAGTGGTAGGGAACCTGCAGCCTCAAGGCCACATGTGGCCCTCCAGGAGCTCGTGAGGCCCTTTGACTGAATCCAAACTTCACAGAACAAATCAGGGCCCTGATCTGTGCCATTTAGCTGCCTTGCAAACAGTAAGCTCTTAATAAGTATTCGTTGAATTTGAAGTTGTAGAGAGGCAGATTTTGGATTGAAAAATATCCTAACAATTGGCAGTAAGGGTAGAATAGGTTGCCTGAGAAGGTAGTGACTTCTCAAACAATGAAGGCCTTTGTGTGGATACTGTATGACCACTTCGATGGGGGGGGCAGTGTTGTAGAAGTTGTTCCTATTCAGGTATGCGTTGGACCAGATGACCTCCAATAACCTTTCAACTCTGATATGCTGTGATTCTATGACCTATGATGGATAAATGCCAGGTCCTCTAGGTACAAAGCAGCGCACTCCATTGAGAGACAGAACTCTGTGGACATAGACATGTCTATCTTTGATGCAAGAATGAAAGAGATTCAGCTTGGCCTTGTCGAAAAAAGGTCAGCATGGGGAGGAGAAGGAAGAGCAGGAGGAGGAGGAAGAGGAGCAGGAGGAGGAGGAAGAGAAGCAAAAAGAGAAGGAAGAAGAGAAAGAGAAGGAGGAGAAGGAGAAGCAGGCATTGGAGAATTCTGGGCAAAGTAGAAACTTGTGGGTCCTCTACAAGCACAGCCCCTGGCAAAATTGTGAAGTTCACTAAGTTTGTTTCAGCATCTTCCACTTGAGGGTGACATAGCCTGGTATAGGAGAAAAATCATTTGTTCAGGAGTAAGACTGATCTGTATTCAAATCCTGCATTGATGTATGCTACCTATTCGACTCTGGGCAAGTTGCTTCATCTCGCTGTGACTCAGTTTCCTTGTCTCTAAAGTGAGGGGGCTTGGAATAGGTGGTCTCGGAGGATTCTTCCAGCTCGAGATCTAAGATCCCATGAATCCCTGTTTTTAGATTCTCTTATTTTCCCTGAAGGTTAGATGATAGTGGCTTAGATATTATCCCTCCTAGGAATTTAATTGAGAGGTCTTCTGGGCACAAAGAAATACCTCCCTCACGGTGAGGAAGTGAGGCAACTGGTTTGAGGTTGGTGGAACTTTTCAGGTGCTCGACTCATTGAATTCACGATACCTCATAGAGGCAGCTGCTGAGCCCACTTGACCCTCTGCTGGCTACTGTGCGGGAGGCCCATGCCTGACAAGGGGGGTGGGTGTCCAAAGCCATGGCATCTTCTGTCCAGCTGTTAATGGCTGGGAGGTGGATGAGATGAAAGACAAAGAATGCTTCCCATAGGAACTGCATACTTTATATTCGATGAACGGAACTGAGCTGAATTAGGCCTAGGAAAGAAAGAAGAGGGCTCCCCTTTAATCTTTCCTATTGTTTCTTTCTATCCTCTTCTAAATCTTTTGGTCTGATTTTAGTTTACAGGAGGACAAGTCATGCCAGAAATGGTGATGGTAATGTTACATGGAAGCCCTCAACATGTGTGTCCTGCCCCTCTCCCCCCCTCCCCTCCACAAGCTGGGCAGCTCAGCCGGCCGGCATTTCTTGGCTCTTCCCGCCTGCCTGTGGAAGATGACTGAGAATGCAGACTGTGGGAGGAAACGACAATGTTCATTGTTTGGATTAAATATTTTTCTTGGCCTTCCTACTGTTTGCTGAGTGTCTTATTTTTTTTCTCCCTCTCTCATTTCCTCCCCCCTCGGCAGTCAGAAACACTGCTCGGTGCAGATAGAGAGGGTAAGGGGTGTGCTACCAAACAATTTTTAGCCCTTCCCTTCGATGTCTCTTGATGGGTATAAACATCACAGGGGTGGTGAGGAGAAAGAGTGTTGGACTTAGAGCCAGAGGTTCTGGGGGCAAATTCAACCTGTGCTATTCACTAGCTATGTGACATTGAACAAATAGTTTCCTCTCCCTCAGCCTCAGTTTCCTCGCTGATAAAATGAAGGTGATTTCTAAAAAAACCTTTTCCTTATTTATAGTGTGGAAGGTATTTCATTCTTTGATACTCATAGGAGGTACAATTTTCCAATATTCCCATTAGAATGTGAGCTCCCTGATGGCAGCGAAAGTACATTTCGCCTTTCTTTATATACCGAGTGTTTAGCACAGTACCTAGAACATATTTAACTGCTTAGTAAATACTTGTTGACTGACTGGTCTTATCTTAAAAAATGAGGCAGTTGGATTAGATAATTTTTTGGGGGAGCAATCAGGGTTAAGTGATTTGCCCAAGGTCACACAGCTAGTAAGTGTCTGAGACCTAATTTGAACTCAGGTCCTCCTGACTCCAGGGCCAGTGTTCTATCCACTGCACCACCTAGCTGCCCCTGAATTAGATAACTTCTGGGGCCCTTTCTAGCTCAAAATCTACGATCCTATCTCTTCAATACTGGATATTTTGGGGGTGTCTTTCTCTTATGCCGTAGGTTCACATTCCTCAACATGTACTTGACTCTGAAACTCTAATCACGAGGTACTGAAGAATGATCATTGAATAAGGTCATGAAAGTGGCACCCTATGAAATCAAGTCTTACTATTGATTAAATAGGTATATAAACAACATACTGGTGCTCTTAAAAGGATATGGAAGAGAAAAATCATAGATCTTGCCCTCATAGAGTCATATTCTATTTGGCGACATAAGACATAGACATATGAAAATTTAAATAACAGTACAAGATGGTAGCGGGGTGGCTTAGTGGATAAAGCATGAAACTTCATATCAGGAAGGGCTGATTTCAAACCCTGTCTCAGACACTCACATAATCACAACCTCTCTCAGGCAACGGTTTCCCCATTGGTAAAATGGTAATGATAAAAGCACCTTTCTTACAGGGTTGTTATGACGATCAAATAACCTATGTAAAGCAATTTTTAAACTTTAAAGTACCATGGAAGTGCTAGCTATCAATCTTATTATTACTAACATTTAATAACAAATCCAGACAGTAGGAGAGATAAGATTAAAAAAAAAGGACCTTTAGAGTTGGAAGGGACATTACCAGTCACCCAATTTCAAACTTCTGTCTAGTGCAGAAATTCTTTCTCTACTTTCTCTCAGAGAGAGTCATCTGATATGTTTGCATACCCTTTAGTGATGGGGAACTCACTGCCAGATGAGGCTATCTATGATCTTATTTAGAATAGCATTAAATATTATTTTTGACACAAATGGATGATATAGGCAAGAAGTGCAAGAAGTTCTAGGGTGGTAGAGAGAGCTTTAGATTCTCAAGGAAGAATTTACAGAGCATTGTGAGATTTGAACTGCCTTGAAAGACAGGAAGGATGTTGATCAGTTAAGAGGATGAGCAGAAGGGATATGGAGGGGTAAGGGTAGGGAGGGTGTCATCACTGGCAGGGAGAAAAATATGAACAAAAGTACAAGGATTATTTAAAAAAGGGAGGATGTTTAAGGAATAGTGACCAAATCAATGTGTTGGAGTAGAGGATTTGTGTAAAAGGGCAGGCTGCCGATAAAAATAAACCATATCTGAATTTTACTTTTAATCTTTAAAAAAAGAGAGCAGGCTGTTAAGGCAAGTTGAAGCCAGCCTGTTAAGGGCCTTGAATGCCAGAGTAAAAAGTCAGAATTATATTTTATGGGCAATGAGAAGGCACTGAAGGCTTTTGAATGGTGGTAGTGATGAGATACAACTATTGCTTTTAGAAAGATTGGTGAGCCAATAGTTTCCATGATGGACTGAAGGAGCAAGTGATTGGATTCATCAAGACCAACTAGAAGCCTACTGTAGTAGCCCACATATGAAGTGATAGTGGCCTGAACTACGATGGGAAGGGAAAAGAAGTGGATTTGAGAACTATTTGAGAGGAATACTTGACAACACATGGTAACTGGTTACACATGAGGGTCAGAGATGAATTTCTCCTTTTTTTTCTGTGAGAAATTCTGGCCACATGTAACATTATATAGTTTTCTCTAAAGTGATAGGGACTAGGGACTGAAACTATGATTTTATTGGTATAGGGAAATTCCAGGTGAGGAAACTCCCTCTACCTATGCAGGTTGGCACCTTCTCTGAAACTTATCACAGAGAAGAGCCTGGAACACTCAGAAGTCACCTGGATGGCATGGGTCAGAGGCAGGACTTGACCCTCAGCCATTACAGCTCAAAGGTCAATTATCTACCCACTATGCTGTGCTGCCTTTCATAAGTGTCGGAGGTGGGATATGAACCTAGATCTTCCTGACTCCAAGTCCAATAGTCTGGCCCCTCTGCCACGTCGCCTCTAGAGAACAAAATAATGGTCACTGAAATTGGCTTGCCATTCCTCCTAGAAGAAACCAAGGCAACCCAACAAGCGAGTCACAAAGGTCACAGGTCATAGCAATAGTTCCCCTGAAGCTAAAGCAATTACTTTAAGGTTTCCTTACAAAGCATTTCCCTCACAACAATGCTGGAAAATAGTTAATGAGAGTATCAAGACCCCCAATTTGCAGATGGGAAATCTAAGGCTAAGAGACATTAAGGCTCAGGGTCACAATACTAGTAAGTGATGATTCCAAGACCATGGTCCTCTCCCAGTGTACCATGCTCCCTTTTTCAATCATAACATCCTCTTAAACAGATATTATAAGCATTTTTTTCTGCCTTGCAAAGGGGTGAAAGAGTAACCTTAGGCTCATCAACATTGTGGTTGGTCTGCTACATTTCCCCCAGTATTCCCTAAATACCCTAATGTTCTAGAGAGACTTTATCTGCCACCCAAAGAAATACACTATTCTAAATGGAGGAGCAGAGACATTTTAAAAAAATTTTATTAACATATCCACTTGCCCTAAGCCTACTTTCTTTTAGGGGCAGCCTATTTTTTTTAAGTTCTTATACCTATGGACAAGCTCCGATTTGGGCAGCTATTTACTCTGCTTCTCCCCCTCACCTGTCTCGCCAGCCTGGGTTACAAACCCTGCTGTTCTGTTCTCCATTAGTCATTCAGCACATCCCAGATCGATTGCATCCATATGGAACCTATTCTCTGTGCAAGTGTCTTGTTGACATTCCCTTTATCTGCGGGATACTTGTCTGTGGATCTTATCCTCTCATCTGTGGATCTGGTGCATCTGTTTCACACCATGTTCTCCGGCCTCGTTTCCTTGGTCTTGGCTTCTTAATGAGCGAAGTCTTGGAGTTTCTCTTCCTCCTCCTCCTTAAAGCATGCAAATCCCAGTGAGGTATCCTAGCAGGTGGCTCAATACCCCACAGAGATCTGCCACGTTAGGTTTTTAGAAGCCTGGTGTTACTGGTTCACATGCTTTTGATTTCCTTTCAGTCATTCCTTTGTCTTCCCTCCCCCATCCTCACATTTTTTTTTTCTCTACCACACACTAAGAACACCAAATAACCAGCAGCCAATTCTGTCCACAGGACACAGAGCCAGAAAACCAAGGCATCTTCAATTAGGCTCACAGAGTGCTGTTTTTGAAAACTGCCATGTCTCTTACATCCATCTTGAGTCTCCTTCTCCCTGCTCACAGAAACATTACCTAAGTTCGGATATCATCATACCTCATCTAAACTGTTTCAAAAGCCTAGTTGTTTCTCCCTCCTTTAAAAAGTCACTCCTTTCTCCAATCCATTGTCCACACAGATGTCAATGTAAAATCACTGAAGTATATAGATCTGACCATATCACTGTTCTCAAGAAGCTTCAGTGACTCTTTATTGCCTCTAGAATACAATACAAGCTTTTCCACTGGACATCAGCATTTAAGGGCAAATCTACCTGGTTTCTCTTTTTAGGCTCTTTGCCTGTGACTCTCCTTTGACCCTCTATGTTCCAGTCAAATCAGAAATAAATGTTTGGTGAGTGAATGAAAAGGTCATGAGAACTTGATGCCAAATTTTGAGATGAACAACAGCCACCCTTCTCTCCCTCTCGAGCTCCCAACCAATGTCCAGCTATATGGAACTGGTGCTTGGCCCTGGTCCATCCACCAGGGGAAATTATCCTCACAAACTGTGAAATCCTGGATTGATGAAGCACACAAATGAGGTGACAAAGCATCTAATTGGCTTCCCTGGTTTTTGTTTTGTTTTGTTTTTAAGTGGAGATATGTCTTGTAGTACTGTATTATGTCCAGTCTTAGTGTTAAGTAGAATAGTGGCAAGAGAACCAGACTTGGAATTGGAAAACCTATGGTCAGATCTCACTCAAACACTAAGTTTCCTTTGGACATATCACTTCTTATCGCCAGGCTTTGGTTTCCCTTGTCTGTAAAATGGCCAGCTTGGGGCAAGAATGCTTTTCCAAGGAGATTAATGTGATGAGATCCATGAAGAAGAGGCATTTTAAAGTATGTGAAGTTCTTTCTTCTCTAGCCAGCCTATTCCCATTGGCCCCTAACACAGTGACATCCTTTCCTTTTCCTAACATCCTCCAAGCACTCAGTGACTTCATTCCCTTTCCTCTGATTATAATGTGTTCTCAGACAGGTTGGCAGACCTTAGTTGAAAGAGTACTGGGGAGCAGCTAGGTGGCGCAGTGGGTAGGGCATTGGCCCTGGAGTCAGGAGGACCTGAGTTCAAATCCAGCCTCAGACACTTGACACTTACTAGCTCTGTGACCCTGGCCAAGGCACTTAACCTCATTGCCTAGCTAAAAAAATTAA